GTACAGTGGCAGTTAGATGCGCACACGCGTTTTTGCATGAGTAAAGGCCGATGTGCGATAAATCGGCACCGACGTGAAGTTGCTGGGGCAGCCCTCTATATCATCGTAGTGGCGGCTAGCGTTGCCGAGCCAGCCGGTACAAGCGTAATATTAGCAGCTCTTACGATGGCGGCGGCGGCGGCAACGGCAGCAAGCGTCGCTGACGATGCAGTGGCTCTTTCTTAGTAATACTCGTAACGCCATCAGCACTACTTACATCATCTAGTGCTGGAACAGCTAGCAAAAAGGAAGGGGAAAATCCTAGAAAAGCACGACGTTCAGGCTAAGGAACGACCCAGTCGGGCAAAAACAATCAGCAATCACCAACGATCGCAGTGTAATCGCGGTAGAAACACAGTCGGCCACTGCTATTCGCTACTGCCATAGCCGATATCGCAGGCCCACAGTATGCTGGAGAAGAAGCAGCAGCAGGGACCGAGTTAAACAGCAACACCCGTAACTAGTCGATCGATCGGCAACCGTTATGGCACTCTATCAGCCAACGCATCAAGCCCCCTTACTGCTGTTCACGTTGATGGCGGGTGCCGCGCATCGTCAACAGCGGCAGCAGCAATGATCGGTAAGCCGCCAGGGTCAGCGAAGTGAGTCCCCCAAGGTTGCTGACGTCATACGGTCTTCCCTCTGCGCGAGCGTCAGCGAGCGCTCGACGATCGTTGCTTGACAGTGGTGGTCCGCTGTAACGCGAAACACATTGAAAGCATCAAACAAGACAGCCAACAGATAGCCAAGAGACTGAGTGAACAGTAACGATGAACCATTTCAAATCGCTTAGTAGTTAGCGTAGCAGCTGCATGACGCCAGATAAGCACACGTACAACGCAGCGTATGCTACGATGCATAGTTAGCACGTGCGTTTGCAGACAACCTGCACATGCGCGTGGTTCAGGGCGACGCGATCCGCTCGCGCTAACAAGCGATTCTTTTATTAGCTTGATGCTAAAGGGCGAGTCGTTTTTATACTGAATCGAAATCCAAACGTACATCAAGGTCCGTAGGACCGTTGTCATGGCGATACGCGACTATTCATGCAATCACGTATTCGGTATAGGTTAACGGCTAAAGGATGCCGGCAGACAACAAAAGCGCCAAGCTCGGATATAGGTTCACCACGTTTCTTAGTTGTTCCTTTCTCGTCCGTCCACCCGGGGACAGGGCCGAGTGGTCAGAGGGGCACCACCAGCGACACCAGGGGGGCCGCCGCAGGCTGGCTTCTAAGACGGCGGGCATTCGACGCACGCTGGAAACGCTGATGATAACGATCTCTTAAAGTGTTTCTGTCATGCCCCTTAGATGTGTTTGGCTTGACCTGTCTTATCTCTTTGTTGCTTTCACGCATGGTAATAACGTGGCTTTCTACATGATCACAAACGATGGGTACACGTATCGCAAATGGGTCTGGGTGACGAGTACCTACAAGCTTCTAGTCGCAGCTGCTGTTTTTCTCTGCGCGTTATTTTTGTTGTCGCGTCCTCCTTGCTTTCTATTTCTATGCTTTATTAAGTACATTAAAAGCATAAGAGACGTCACCAGACATAAATGTAGACTCTATCCATTTCATGCTAATGGCGGTAGTATCGGGCATAGAACGACATAGCAAGAACGCTCATAATTTGAACGTTACTACATTGGCATGGTGGTATCATGTCATTCTTCACATAGTAATCGAGTCGGGTAAGATCATTGTCATTGAGGATTAAAACCATCGCGATAATCCAATATTAGCCACAACGTTGTGAGGCCAGAGCAGCGTAAGTAAGTCTTTCACCAACCAGGAACCCGCCGGTGGCAGCTACATAATAGAATAAATTGTCCGCCAGCTGGCTACGCAAAAGAAAAGCTCAAAGAACACTCACGCTTTCGGTCATTTGACTAGGATACTTGGACGGGTCTCACTATCCTCCTGTCAAGTTACGTAGGTCAGCAACAAATGGCACCGCGAGAAAGCGGGCTTTCACAGTAGTGGTAGTAGTAGTAGAAGAAAATTCGATAGTGACTAAAGTAGAATGGATATATTGATTTAACAGTCACTGTTTCGATAGCGATATCGCCATATTATAATTTGAAGCGTATATTCTCGGAACCCCTTCCTTCCGCATCTAACCTAGAAAAGTCGTACGCTGTCATATCAGTCAGTTACCGTAAATCTCTCATATTCGGGTACATGTACGCATATATATACAAATATGTGATACATTTGCTGCTGGTGCGTTCACTCGTTCACATTTGTATTCTAGTGCTTAGAACTAACGATGCCAAGGATTCACATTAAGTCTGCTAAAAAAACGTACGATGGATTGTCGATTCTTTTTCGGTAAAAGAGAAGCGAGCCTGTTACCGAATCTTTTCATTAATAGGTGTACCGTGCTTTATTATACTAATTAATTAGACTACTACGCCGCCTGCCTTGCAGGGCGAGGCTGGCACTTTCATACTTTTCATATTAAAACACAGATCTACATTCACAAACACAGATTCAGATCCACAAACACAGACAGTCAAAAGGCAAAACTAGCGCAGACGCTCTTAAATGCAAAAGTTTCTTTGAAATCTATCTGAAAACGTATTATTACTTGAAGATGGTCTTTACTTCTCAATGCTCTGCAATGCTCACAATTACTCTGGGTTACGGGCTGGAATTATATCGTGTTTCTGCAGTCCTATCCAAAAAACAGTCATCGACGTACGCTGCGCTTAATGTATGAGCTTCGCGGACTGCACCCGTATCCATAAAGTATTCGGAAGTGCACTGCGTTTTTCGGCATGATTTCATTGTGTGTGTGTGTATGTGTTTGTATATGTGTAGAGCTGACCTATATAATCAGGCAGTTTTTGTGTTTCTGATGATATACAGCAAGCGTGTACGCCGTTTCAACATTTCATCCTCAGATTTCTTCAAGCCATAAAAATGATCATGGATCTTCATTTACTGGACACTGTGGTTAAATCACCCCAACAGCTGAGTTGATCGTTGAGTTTGTGGCCGATAATAAATCGCATTTAGGGGAAGTCCTCATTCTCCAAAAACGATACCCTATGGAATTCGGAACCAATAGAAAATTTTTTGGTGTCATTTTCCCAGCCCTAATTACTCCCAAAGCTATTGTCTTATTTAAGTCCGTTTCACCGATGTTTTACGCATACACTATATATATATATATATATATGTATATATAATAAATACAGAAGCATCAATATGTATATATGCATATTGATGGTTTTGTATTTCGACAGTCATAAATATATATATATATATATACACCATTACTGCAAATGAAAGGAAGCACATAGAAGCATCGACATGTTCATTTAGGATTAACTGTGCACTGTACGTAATCGTTTAGTGTTATCGTTTCGAAATGCAGGAAAAAGAGCAACAGATTATGATACAAAAAGGAACGGTGACTTTGGCCTTGTTCTGTCGGAAACCGTTTACTCATCCTTATCCACGTCATATACACCGTTATCACGTGGAGTTTGGCCTGGCTTCGTATTCTATTGGAACGTCTGTCATAAAAAACGAAGCTCATCACAGAGAAATTTCTTTTCCCTAATGATTGCCGTTGGTCAAAGAGGTTCGTCACGCGGAGGGAAATTTCCCGTGATGTAGAACAGGTTGTCTTGCTGACGTCCATCAAACGCGTAATAACAATAGGGTTATTCCAATTTTTATTGCAACGCAGTCATTTCACGTATTCGTAGCTTTATTATAGGCAATAACAGTGCCGTCTATTCTACGAACTTAGCAAGTGAACGATAATATTCACTAATTTAATAGCTATGTGAGTATTCGTAAACTGGTGACTGATTGATGGGTTGTTTACTCTTGAAAACACACACGGGCTTTCGCTCCGAACAAAAACGCCTTTTTTCTTTGCTGGACACGTTTACATTTTTATACTTCTTACGGTTTCTATGTAGAAACGAAGCCATTTCACCGCCTGGATTTGGGAAATGATTTTCTTGTTATTTCTCCACGCTAATATTTATCCTGTTCGACGACTTCTCTTTGTTCGTCTTCTGCCGCCGCTACTACTATTAAGGATATAACGACGAAGGATACGACGCGTGAATAACGAGACCCGAAACGGAAAACGGCCGCATCCCACATTTATTATCGATTATGGAAGATTCAACGGAAGCACGATCAACTCAATTGTAGAAGTGGCAGTTGTTGGCAGCTTGGTACGGTTATCTTTACTCTCAGGGCCAGAGCGTCGTGGCTGTCGGAGAGTATCGGTAGTGAAAACTAAATGACGGCGCCGAACCATCGAAAAAAGTCTTCTGTCTCAGCCGTTGACCCGACGACCGGCCGGTGCTCTGGCCGGATCCAGTATCCGTTACACTGGGTCCAGCTCGGCCTATCCTCTGTATATAACAAGGACGCCATGACGAATACTGGGACAACGCCACGGAAGAGAAAGATGAACATTATTGTCGAAGAGTTATCACCGCTCGGCCTACATAGTCATTCATACGTCTTGATATCATAATTCAAGTCTTTGATCTCACTTCGTAAACTTCATTTTTGCGTTGTCGCATTCGATTTCTTACGAAAAACTGAAAGAAAAGATCTGTCGAGAAAACAACTGTCAAGACAAAGCTTTCTACTAGAATACTTCGGTAACATTAATGTATCTCTAAATATATTCGACCGTTACGCTGTTCTCATTCGATTCGAAGGTCATAACTTCTATAATTTAATTAACAGCGCGAAGACCAAGTAAATTTTGCGGAAGAAAGCTGAGTAGGCTAACTAACAACTCGTGTGGCAGGAAACTTGCCAAATTTTCACATTCTAAATCATAATTATCAATATCAAACAATAGCCATATGGTGTCATAAAATGTGGTTAAGGCAGAAAATGCGCAGGTGGTATTTTGTTTGGCCAAGATCACCGGACGGCGATGTGTAAAAATATTCATTCTTTGCTCTAATTTTAGACGATGTGACCCTTCTGCTACGAGAAATTATGACTGATGCACGGGAGCTGACGCGCGCTGAGAGATGTTCACTGTTTTTGTTAGACAAGGAACAACGTGAGCTGGTAGCTAAAGTTTTCGATGGACACCTCGCCGAAGATGGTCAGGAAACTTGTACAGAAGTTCGGATACCAGCCAATCAAGGTAAATTCGCAATGCATCAAAAAGTACTCCCTCCTAAGAAACAGCATAAACAATTCGCCTACTCTGAGCCTTTACGGCTTATCATGCAGGTAACTTTTCGTATTACTATTATGAAATAACACGGTAAAGGCGTGTGAAATAAGTAGCTGTTATGTTATAGATATGAGACACCGGCTCGTACGCCGGCAATACCTATGCGTTGCTGTCATCACGGTCGAAATAAAGGAAATGCAGCGGTATGGCAAAGTCTTTTATCTATACATACGTAGATGGCCGTCGCCGGCATCATGTGTGTAAATACCTATCGTATGCTAGCGTCCATATTGTCAAACCTCGGCAGTTCGACACTGACAGTTAACCACTGATCATCGTGGGATCATCGTTCCTCCTACGCCCCCTCGATTTCAACCGACTGGTTAAGCGCATGGTTAAACCCATACGATCGCATAATGATGCTTATGCAAGCATTGAACTCCGCCCCTATTGGACTGTGGGGGTTGTGTCCTTAACCTCGCGGTGTCTGGCTACACAGACTCTTCTTCGCCGCAGCTCAGTAAATCTCATCGTAGTAGCAACAAAAAAGACCTCGACAGGCAAAAAAAAAGAGCATCCAACAACGGCTAACGCCCATCAGGCCGAGAAACCGATCAACCTAAACAGAGCTACTGAAGGCATACAGGCAAGCGGCGATCTCTTAAATGGCCGTTTTTAGCATTGATGATGTAGACCGGCGGGCCAAAATATCGTCTATGATAACAACAATAATTGGAACCCCTTCTAGCGCAGTAATAGATATGCATTACAGATTATTATCATTTGATTCGTTTCCCTATTCTCGTATCATATGGTTGTGCCATCGGTTTAGACCAGTTTTAATACGGTTGTTCTACCAAAACGATCAGCCACTTAATCGACGTTGGATGAAAGGAACTGCTTACATAGACTGTTTCGCCCAACATCTTTCTTAGATTTGGCCCGTGTACTTTCTCGTTGTCGTTTGCTGAGGGTCGGGCATTTAGCTGGAAAGAATTGAGATTCTCGTAAAAATGTCGATTTTTGCTTCAGCCAGTCCCGTTAGTACCCGTATGTTTTCGTTTATTCCTATAAATTCCATTAATTTTTCAGTAAACACAATATCATTGTGGGTATTCCGCACGTTGGTAAGGAAAATATGTGAGCTATTCAAAAGCGCTTTGAAAACGACACCGTTGAAATGCATAAACTAATTTGCCTGATAATATGCTGGTTCCCACTCGTCCTTATAAATTTTCAATAAAAAGAAAAATTATTTTTATGCGTTGTTTACATTTTCCAACACATTTTTGTTCGTTATTTATGTCTACACATAGAAATAATGAAATCGTTGGCTTGAACAAAAAGCACGCTTTTGAATTCGTAATGTACCTGGCATACTGCTACTCGTAAGGCCGATACTAATGAAGCTCTACTTTGTCCTCAGTCCTGAATCGGAAGCCCGACTCTGTCGTTAAATCTCGATTGACCTCTTTTTTCCGATGGTGACGTGAAGGCACCCGGAAGCTGTCACGACAGTTTTTAGGTCTCAACGAAAAAACGTTTCGCAGGTTTTCGTTACCTCCTAAAAGGGGCCTATATATTTGTACCACGGTTCTTTCATGATGTAATTAATTCTATACCTTGTACTGCCATACGTCGATATATTTTTTCTGCTGTTATATTTTCGATCCAACCATCTACTTGTTTTACTGGGCCATCACCGCATTTTCGAGAATTTGATAGCTTAGCTAAGGGCGAACAACAAAATGGCAAATTCTTTCTGTAATGTTATCACAATTCTAGGTTAAAGATGGCTATATACAATACGTTAGTGACTGAGGTTAAACAGAGCACTTCTTCTTAGCCACCCATTGACGTGTCAACTGTATTGCAGTATATTGGTAAGATGACAAGCTGCGTCACCTGCCTTTGGGACGGCGCACCTGCGACCAAATCTGTGATCCTTTAGTAAAGACTGTTTGTTTGCATTAACGAATCCCATACACTGGAATATTAATAGGTACGTGTGCGATTAATTCGTTTTCTGTCCATTTAGGTATTGCTGGTCACGTGGCGACAACCGGCGAAGTACTAAATATTCGTGACGCGTACAACCATCCGCTCTTTTACAGAAGGATGGACGAGGTAACGGGCTTTAAGACACGAAATATCCTATGTTTCCCTATCAAAGATGACCAGGAGGTGATCGGGGTTGCCGAACTCTGCAACAAGGTAATTACTATTCCCTTCTCGGGAAACGAGACAAATACTTAACAAACTTCAACGACATGTGTAACTGGCGATTTAACACTGAGCAGGCTGGAAGTTACTACGTGTACGTGTCATTATACAGCGTAAACGTTTGAAGTGGCGATAACGACAACAACCAGCAAAACACAGAAGTGAGAGATAAAATGAGAGAGTGTTAAACTATTCGTTTTACAGCAGCTATTTATGACTCTCTGTGCTGATAGAAATTTAGGCCTAGATTTATGGAGCTAATAAGTATTCTGTTCTCATTAATTTGTTATCTATTTAGCCAGCCTGTTATCGTAAGATAATATTGCACAATACCGACTTAATTGTCGAGATGATCTAAATTGCCATATCTGCAATAATCTATGATAATTAAATTGGACTAACGATAATAGACGCAGGTGTATGAAACGCTGGGCCATATCGCAGCGTGCAGATCGTAGACAATGTAAAAAAACGTTTAACGTCAAGGTGATGATACTATGCAACGTAGCGGTAGCCTATTAAAACCAATAGAACTGAAAGCACCAATCAAATGTTTTCTATCGCTCCATAATTGAATTACAGAGCTTGTAAATGTGGAACATTTCTAGGAAAAATTATCAAATAACTACTCTCAAAAGTCATGAGAACAGATGGACGAAAAGCATCCCGGAAAAAGCAGAATTAATAGCATAATTATCTGACCTTTGGAGTTGAAAAGCTTTCCAATATTCTGAGCAAAAAGAGAAACTCATAATTTCCCGTTAGCGGACAGGGTTTAGAAAGGCTGTAAAATTCATGAAAAACAGAGGCTGCTTGAGATTATCGTTATTCCAAGCGGTAACATTAATAGATTTAAAGTATTTAATGACAAGTCTCTGTGCACGACCTACATAGACGTTATAATTATTATTACTATTATTGCCCTTTCCTATAAAATCTCCTATTGCCGATTAGATTAAACAGTAGAGAAATGCTGTAGATATCGAAAAAAAAAGTAAGCTACTTAATGCTCTGCGGCAATTATATAAAAAATGCCTAATCAAATCTATAATAGTCGAAAGGCACTGTCATTTTTAAGAGCCGCCCAGGAAGTCATTGCCCCGCCAAATAAAGAAACAGAACAAATTGACAACTACCATTGATATAATAGCGTAAGCGAAGCTGTTTCTCGTACGCTTTCGTTGTCAGCTTAATGATCTCCGGAACTCGCTCCATTCAGCAACAGTGGGTGGTGATTGAGAATACTGTTTGGCAGTCGATGACGTAAGCGTCATTTTCTCAATGAATAGACGTCTTTACGTCGCGATATCGCTTTTGAGTCAATGAGCGTAATTGTCACTTTTGCTGTTTGAAACAAAAGTCGTCATGGAAGTAGACTGATCATGCCACGCAAATCACATCGGCTGAGTTCCCATTCATACGATGATCGCTATTGCGGCCTCTGTTTCCCCTTGACATGTAGCAGCTGGCGGCGCTGTTGGCAGATCGCGTATAGAAAACCATAGCCAAACAATAGTTACCAGACGAATGAGACGTCCCAGGTTGCGTAGCAGTATGTCCTAAAACGGCGGTAAAGACAGAGAGAAATATATCAGAATCGGTTTAATTCGAATAAATGGTAGCTGTCTGAATTAATTGAATCTCTCCAGATCATATAAATAGTCATGGAACGATGAAGAATTACGTAGCAATCAGGCTAAGGTTAGTTAATGGTAGTAAAGTTTCTGTCACAGAGTAAGATTTGACAAGAATAAGATTGCGGTCCTTGCTTTAATGCCATTCCAGCCGTTCTTTTTGTCATTCCACTGCTCTGATACTGAAATCCAAATACGCGTTAGAACAGCGTAGCTATCAAGTGACGTCATAATCTTGCGGCGTTATTTGAAAAAGCAAGAACGTCGAAAATCGTTTTTTTTTCGCGCTTCCAAGGTTGAAAATGGACTTCATAAAAGCCTTCATCATACACTTTTAGCTACGTCCTGGACAGGTAGCGTCCTTCAATGAACTTACATTTACTAGCGCTTCGGCCTTGAAATCTCGATTTTTTTTAACAAGTTAGTGATTTTAAACATATCATATCTCGTTTATAATTATCATATCAAGCACTACGCATTAAGGACATGCAAGAAAAAGCGGAGAAATAAGTTTAATTTGAAAAAAGGTTAAAATCGACTGAATTCAACATAGGTATAGATAATTTTGATCACTATAACTACCTCTTAAATCAATAACAGTACACACACGGTGTAGAAGTAAGCGGAGTCAGATCGTTGATATGCTATTGTAGCCTAAACTAGTGCACTGAAATTATTCATCTTTTCCTTGATGGATGGCGGCCTTGTGAACCGGACGAAATTTTGCTGATCGTCGCTGACTATTCATAGGCTGTTTAATTTTCGTAAAGAACCGATCTATGGTTCCGCTGCTGTCCTCGTTTTTGAAGCCGGTGCCGTTTGTCAGTCATCTTGCCTCTTCTCTACGTAATGGCTACTGGAAACGACTTCATCGCATGCGTTTAGACGTGCAGCAATATCGCCGAATTCATCCTCGTAGAAAAATTATTTTTAATTATTATTCATACATTATCCTGATCGCTTCCTATCCATTCGTTTGCAATTCGGTTATTACGGGCACCAGGGGTAATTGAATTCAATAGCCGCCGTTCGCCTGTAGCTGCATCACTGTGCCACGTAAAGAACTCTGCATTGCTTCGCCAGGCATCTTTTTGCTGCAGTCACATCACTATCAGTTATCAACTGCAATAAAAACCGTGATACCCGTTCCGTCCATCCGGCGTACGGTAAAGGAAGGGAGGTACAACGAGGTTGGGGTGAGGGTGCCTATGTTGGCTAGCAGACCTTTGGTGCAAAGCCAGTTCAATTAACTCAGTATTTCAAGACATTTTTGGTTTTAGCTGAAGACAAGCTTTAGTCACTTTGTCTTCGGCCACTATACTCAAGCAGAGCCAGGTAGACAAGCCGACCATTCAGCGATCCGAACGATCGTAGTTCTTTTGTTGTCACCATCGTATAGTACTGCATGAGAGGGATTATCAGATCAGCGCCGAGAGCACTTTCATTGAGACACTCATTTTTCCATGCTATACTGATGCTAGAACAGTGATGTATGTATGTGTTCTCAGGTGATAAACAAAAAGCAACGAGGTACTGCCTCGAAAGGTTTCAATGCTAACAGGTGACCATATAGTTATAGAGGTCATATCGCAGTCTGTGTGGGTTGAATTAACGAAGGATAGTTTTCGTTTGAAGGACATAGGCCGATTTGCGATTAACAAGGCAGTTGGCTGTATCGAAACTGGGCAGTCACGTGAAATGTTAGCAGCAGGTACGGTCCATTCTGCGAACTAACACCATATTCCTATACCGTGCGCTTTATCCAGGGTAAACAGGTTGCGCGATCACAAAGCCAGGACAATTTACTCACAATATGGTCAGATACGCGAGAAAACATGTGCAGTAATGCATTTCCATACTGCACCTTAGCCTTAGATTACCTTTAAGATTACTGTTATTTCTCTTGTGTTTTCAGGTAAACGGCAAGTGCTTTTCGTTCTTCGATGAAGAAATGGCGAAAGCATTCTCGATCTACTGTGGCATCTCCATAATGCATTCGCTCATGTGGAAAAAGGTACGATAAGCGAAAAAAAGGCGGTCCGGTCAATCAGTACCTGGTCTAATATTGACATGGCATTAGTGTTTCTGTTGTTATTGTTGGAATCGACGCCATCTCCTGGTCCTGTTGCTGCTGTTCTTGCTTCTATCTTTCCATCATTTTGTTTTTTCGGGTCTTAGCAGCTGATGGTTCCAAACCTACCCGTTCCGTCTACGCTGTTCACCTAATAGCGCAAACTGGTCCTTTTTTGCTTTTATTTGCTCTGTTTCAGTGTCTCTTTTCCACTTCTTCCGACAAAATAGTCTTCAAACGAGTATTGCGGCTCGCTCACAGCCGCTGCAGCAGAAGTCTTTACTTCTAGGAGACCCATCTCGATTTCCTTCAGTAAGACCCTTTTTCGGCGGAATCCTCCTCCCGAGCAGTTCTACTCTTGTTCGTTCGAAAGTCTAGGAAAAATTAATAAGCCTACTAAGGAAAAGCGAAAAATTTCATCCAGATGTTGTTCAGCTTGGTGTGGACGTAACGTTCGACGTTGTTGAAACACTTGCGACGTGCTAGTCGTATATAGCAATGTGCACCTTCCCATCGTATCCACTACGGTATTAATTTTCGAGCACAAGCCGTGTATTGAGATTGGCTTAGGGCATGGCTGTTAAACTGGCAACTGCGAAAGACGCGGCTGGCGTGGAAAAAAAAAATCCTGTTTATAATCGAATCGCGTGCCTGCATTACGTGACAACCGTAATTATTGTAGCCATGCAAGAAAGAGATATCGATTCAGATTTGCTAATGGTAGTTTCACCTCTTCATGGCGAAATATAAATAATAAGGAATTGATATTACATTGTATGATGTAGGACGTTCGTAGGCTACATACGCAATAAACACCCCACATAAGTTTCGGAGATTATCTGTATCATTAGCCGCTGGTTCCCGCAGCACAGAGCACACTCCTCAACGGGAAGTCGTAGCTCGACTGACATGTTGCCAACCTCCCGAGACTAGTATTGCTAAAATGTTATAATTGTTGTTCGTTCATCGTTTCGCCTTCTAGGTAATCCTCCTTTTGTGTTGTATACCAAAAGGGGAATATTTGCCTTTTGCTGGTAAATAAATCGAAGTGCTAGTATAAAAGCAAGGGTGTCTGCTCTTTTGGCATGTGCTCTTTCAGACTGCTTTTTCCGCATGGAATAGCTGTTCAGGACGCGGTTTCGTTTTTAAACTGGAAAAAATAATCGTGCGAAGCAATATGAATATCACTGTAGACTGGTTACGGCAAACCCCCAAAGTTGCTGAGTCACGTTGCTGAACCATTTCTGGGTCCTGCCTGGCGACAAAAAACTCTTAAGAATAAAGAAATTCTTAAAAAACTTTAAGAATAAACATAAGCAGGTTTGCTGGCGAAACATTTTTTTCTCAAAACGTTGCAATATACAGAGGCATTCTGAGAGAAAAACCGAATATATACACATTGTTTCTTCTCTGCGATTACTATACTATTGTTTAGTGAAAAATGTACACGATCGCTCGACAAAAATGTACATGCCATAATGCAGTGTTAAATCGAACACTTGTTCCGATTACCTGCCATTGATACATTATTCTTCGTCTTTGATAGAAATAGGTCGTTTGATGAAACGCCGCTCCTACCGAGTAGGCTTATCGAATTGTACTATAAAATCGTTTTATGACTATCGTTTGCGGAAATTCAACATTAGCTAAGTATGTGTGGATACCGAAACCAGTGTCTGGTACGTATACAGCTTTGTATGCGGATAATTGAATTATTCATAAATGTATTATTTTTTTCGTTTACAGGTTCGTGATGCACAGCATCGATCACGCCTATCCAATGAGTTGATGATGTATCACATCCTCGTCCCGGATGAAGAAGTACACCAATTAGTGACCTTAATCGGCCAAGGACCTGTTCCAACACCACGCGAGAAATTTCACCCGGCTTTTGAGACCTTCCAGGGTATTCCAAGAGCAATTCCCGACAGGGATACACCTCTTGTAAGTTTTAACTGCTAACTATATGCACTGTTTATCCGGTCAACCTCCAAACCTACATATTACAGTTTGTGAGCACATACCAGATTATAAGAAAGTAATCGATATATTATAACTACGTAACAATCAGCTTGTTTGTTTTTGCTTTGGCCTTCACAGGCTGTTGTTACAATGTTTGAGGATTTAAGTTTCATTCAACGATGGAGAGTTTCACGAACAACGCTGGCACGCTTTGTCCTTATGGTCCGGAAGGGTTATCGGGATCCTCCGTATCACAACTGGACCCATGCATTTGCTGTAGCTCATTATAGCTATCTACTTATCAAGAATCTAAACCTCGTGACAAAAGGGTATCTCACGTGTGTATCGTATTCAGATTAATCCCTTCAAACCACAGTTACGATTGATGCCCAGGTGTTTTATTGATGACGATGTACCATGGTATAATGGCGAAATGTTCCTAGACAATAGGCATTTTTCAGTAATTTCCTCGTATATAATAATCTGCAATTTCGTTGAACCCTAAATTTTACATTTACTAACTGGATGTGTTTGTGGCCTTTACAGCGATATCGAGGCACTTTCGTTGTTTGTTGCTTGTCTATGTCACGACCTCGATCATCGAGGGACGACGAACACGTTCCAAGTAAACTCAAAAAGCATTTTGGCATCGTTATATTCCTCTGAGGGCTCCGTGATGGAGCGGCACCATTTCGCGCAAGCTATGGCCATCCTCAACACTGACGGCTGCAATATCTTCGAGAATCTCGATTGCCATGAATACACAAAGGTCAGTGTGGCGGGTGTCAGTAACGTTTACACGTCTACCTTATAATGACAAAATTGATTGAGTTATCTTGCAAGACCGCTTAGGGATTATGTCAGAATGTATATAATTCGATTCGACACGCATGTTTCACTCGCATGCTGTTTCAGATACTGGACAACATGCGTGAGATCATTCTTGCCACAGACCTAAGTCACCACTTCAAGATCATGCCGAAGCTCAACGAAATGGTGACCTCATTCAAAAAAGATGACGTGGAGCACCATCAGCTATTGATGTCTTTACTGGTTACATCTTGCGATCTTTCCGACCAGACGAAAGATTGGAAAGCCACAAAACAAGTCGCAGAACTGATCTATAAGGAGTTCTTCTCGCAAGGTGTGTGTGTATACCACAAATAGATCCGTCTCCGGCAAACATATTGATTGATAATCGGCTATTTTAGCCTTCATCCCCTGAAAAATTTCGTTACATTATCCCATAGTGTATACAATTCCAATAGATGTAAAGATTTTTGCAAGCTCAAAATTCGTAATGGGGCTTTACGATGAGCAGGTGATCTTGAAAAGTCGATGGGAATTGCTCCGGACAAGATGATGGATCGGGAGAAAGCGTTCATTCCGGAATTGCAGATCCAGTTTATCGATGGTGTAGTACGGCCAACGTTCCATCTGCTAGCGCAACTTTTCCCTAACGATGAAGGCACCCACCAGAGTTTGCAGGCCGTTACAGACAATCTTACGTTCTGGCAACGTTTCCGAGAAATTTACTTGGCCAAATACGGCACACAGCATGGCTGCTCGCTAAGCATCTTTCATGACCGACAACTGGAAAAGGAAGTGGTGTCCAGCCTACAGCTTCAAAACAACAGGTGACTTTGTACAAATGAATTGCATGCGCAATTTATTCGCTCAATGATATGATGATGATGACGACGACGTAGCTAAATTGTCATGTCCTATGATTTTTGTATGAGAACGGGAGAAATCTTATCTCCTATTGATAGCACTGCAAATCGTTGATCAATCTCATACATCACCTAATCGTTTTCCTTTGTTGCTTTCCTGTCGCCCTTTTGTCTGTATTTCTTTTCTTCGAGTATCCAGAAAACGCAACTTTCGCGAAGATTCTCCCGGTCCGGCTTCAAGCTCAGCTTCATGACCTGAACGGACCCGAAGTGTTTTATCGCGGACCCTTCATTCTATCATTTGTAACCTAAACATCTGACAGTCCTCGAAAGAGAAGAATACTTAGTCAGATTAGTATATAAGTAATTATAATAGCACTGTATTCAATTTCGACGTCCGACCAAAAATGCACCAGGTAGTAGGCTTAACACACGAACCGGCTCACGGTTCCGCTCCTAGAGTGTCGGACAACGAAGAGATACGAAGGCTACCTACTCGGAGTCGAAAATTCGTCACAACTTAATTTATTAACACTCTGTACACATTGGCACCCTTTACGCAGAATCGTTTCTGACCTGCTATAACTGGGGAGCACTTACCTAACGATGCTGCTGATGTAGGTATAGTTGTTGGTTATTCTTGTTGATTATTCTGTGCACCTCATCATGCCACCAAAAATCAAAAATAAGTAGCATACATCTACTACTTTTCATGGATGATATCTCAGTTTATGTCGTTTGTCCTACGGAATGAGGTTGAAGCTGAGTCCTCCTTTCCCTAGGCAACAATGCTATGCCCAACAAGAACTATAAATTGCTTGAAAACTCTTATATATATATATATATATATATATATATATATATCAGGGCTTATTTCACACGAAGTTCAAGCCAATTGTAAGTGGTCATCTATTCATAATGATATAACCTAAAATGATGATCAACCATGCATAGTTAGATATTATTTAACTAACCAAAAATGTCAGCTCGGTGAGGAGTTCGTGACAAAATAGCACAGTAACATTAGTTTCTCTTAATGTAATTATTAGACTGAACTTTTACATACATTCGAATATAGATACATTCAACGATATAATAACATTGACGAAATAGTGGCATGAAGGTAGCAGCCCAGAGGCAGGCATAGATGGATCATACTGGGAACAGTATTATAGCTGTTTAGAAAGGGAAAAGCTTACTAAGAAGAGTGTCGGGCTTAACTAGCACAACACAGAATTCGAATCTCTGTTAGTCAGGGGGCAGCCCCAATCTGTAGTCTTAATGCTGTTCCATATGGTAAATTATAGTACACGAAAGAGAAGGAACGCGACTCTATTGAAAAAATCATCTGGCCTATGATGATTATCTGTATAATTTACCATTATTCGGTCTCTAAAACAGAATAACTAATAATGAGACCTCACGTGCGTGGTCTTGTTCAGTGTTATTCAAACTCTGCACGATACGGCGCTAGTCTTTTGTTTATCTGAAGGATGGCCAAACAAATGGTACCGACATAGAAACATATGATCGTATTTTACACTATGAATATTCTACTTCAATAGGCCTGGAGCTTTATGTAATTTCTCATAATAATTCTTGTATCTGGGGTTACACTTACTAATCATATGTTATTACCTGCCATTGTGTTTGTACTTACAGTGGTCACCTCGATGTACGATTGTTGAATTGGCACTACATGAACGAATATGTTGTTAGTGTGATTCTTTATATATATATATGTATACGCAGCTCTAACTATATATTTCCTCAGTACGGCTGATGACAAGGACCTTTGCAAAAAGATGTTTCAGAACAGACATCAACGCGTCTTCCAATCGTCCGTTGACGGAAGGTGGACGAAGCAAATACGTAATTGATGAAGAGCAACAAAAGTTGCGGTCGGCAAGGCTTATCTTGTCTGCGATGACAATGGACATCAATTGCGGAGTTTTCCAGCAGAAAAATTAGTCCGTTCGTGTGTTTACATTAAATCTGAGTTCAGTAATGTATGACAGGCCCGAAGCCTGCACATACTCATGCAGTAGCAAATTCACAAGATGCACGCGAGCGCGATAACCTATTTAGGCATTTTAGTGTCATCCAGATGGTTCCTATCAAGCTCGACAACGCAATTTTGACAATAACTAAGTCTTTGACTAGGGCTAATTTTAACGATCATGATAACAGGACATGGAGCATAATAATTATGGTAATAGTAATTATTCTACATGTAGTAATTGATAAATATTCAAGATGGCTCGCAATGTAGTTATGAGCAACATTGAAAAGGTCGAGTGACACTCGAAACTGAGCGATAACGATAATTATGTTAGTACCAAGGATATTATCACTTTTAGTATATATATATATATATATATATATATATATATATATTGTACTATTATCGGGAATAATTATTGTTAATGGCATAGCGGCAAAGAAAGCAAACAGGAGGGATGCACTGCGTAAAAAAAAGTGACGCGTGGGGAGGGCTCGCAAAACAACGCTGCAAGACTTACAAACCACAATGTAAAATGTGCCATTTAGATGAGATGCGAATCGGAAAATAAGGTGACGTCGAAAAGGCCGATTAAGGCTGAACAGAGACGAACAAATAACAATGGGATCACATTGTGTTGGAGTCTGTATACTTAAAAGTATGTATATACCTAAGATGAAATCTTATCATAATATAATAATACACGGATATTAATATATATATGACTTGACATTGCGGATGTGTATATATATATATTCGTGAGTTAAAGTTGCATAAAATAGATGGTATTTCAACGTAGAAACTGTTTTCACTAGAAAGCTGTCGTAACGACTAAACGATACCAGAATAGGTACGTAATCTTGTCGGGAACTAGCAGTGTGCAGAGAGGTGTGTCTATGGTCCACCCGGCATGGCTCTGGGTTAAGACGTTTTCGGTGTAGATAACTGATAGCTGCCACGTTGTTGGGTCTAGTGCGCATAACAACTGCCATTATTGATTGAGTACACATTGAACCAGTCATTGCTAGGACAAAGTAGTAATTCCCTGATAAATTTATATGAAGCATTTGTCAGTAGTTCAGTTTCGCAATCAGACTGTGAAACGACTGTACCTTTTCGTGCAACAAATTCTGTTTAGTTGGAAAAATTTCCATAGAAAAGGAATTGAACTGACTGTATTGTAGCCGAAAGGGTCCCGCTCAAATAGAACATGCCAACATGATTATGCTTTGCCAAGGAGACTTTGGAATCAGAATCTACATAATATTTCATATGCACTAGCCCTTCTGCGGACCTCAATTAGACCTAAAAACATTCGTTCAAGCTAAATTTGTTGATTTTGATAAGCACCAGCCATTGACTAGACTTCTACAACCGGATAGGCCTAGTCTCAAAGAGCTGAGGTGCAGCCGTGCCTTTCTTCTGTAAGCACTCTTAAAATGAAAATTCACCGTAGTTAGTAAATTCATAGTTGAGGAAAAACTGATTAGGTTATTGTATATTAATTATGTAAGGTTACAGAAGTAAGGTTAACTTCCGAGGTTTGACAAAAATGGCGAAGAGCAATTTTTACCATGGACTTCGTCTACTTTGCCGACTGTCCTGAAAACTGCTCCTATTAGCCAAAATGTGTACATACGTCCATACAGGTAGGTCTGTCAAAATCGAATCATCACCTTCTGTGGTCTAGTTGCTGCATTCGCTTCCGATGAGACATCAGGTCACTTACACAACTAAGCCGTGATGAACGCATTATTGTGGAGCTTTCCTGCGTACTTTCAACTCGACCACGGGGTGCTAATTAACTCTACGTAATCTGAATTTCAATTGTTGTTGCATCCGTAAGAAATGGGTAACTTGAGAAAAAAAAATTATAGCAATGATGCAGTAACAACATCAAATATCAGCATGCCATACGGACGGCTTGGCTGCGTCAGAGCATTGATGCCTTGCCGAAAATAGACAGTAACCAGCTTATATAACCGATTAAACAACTTTTTTGGCTTTAAAACATGTAACTTGTATGCCAACCTGCATACTTTTTGGCTATCACAAACAGTTATCGAGGCACCTGGAAAAATAGACCAAGTCCGGGTAAAAACTTCTACCGGTAAATTCACTATTGGCCGTTTGCTAAATCTCTAGAAAAACCTTTTACTATGTTTAATTTACTAATATTTTCACATGGTACCTTTCTTTCTAATTTTCGTTGTTTCCAAAAAAGTAAATTGCGGCGTCAGCTCTTCATAGACTTCTCACAAAAACGTTCGCACATCGCTAACCTAAGTGTACGATAACGTTGAAATGCACTGCTATTATGTTAACATGTAGTGGTTTTATTAAGTTATGTTAGCTGTGCCGTGTAATTTCAACCTCCATGGCAAGTTGAATGACTCTTTGTTTTTCTAGACTGGAAAACAGTATAAGTGACCGGTCATTATATTAGAATATGCAGTTGTTTACTATACTGAGGTTAGAATTCGAATACTACACGACAGATCTAGGTTCGACGCCGGCCATAGGCAGACTTCATTTCGTGCTGGGAGCCATCCGTCTGATGAAATGTCCAGCGATGAAAGCTCGAAATACAGAAAGGATAATAGATAAGCGATAAATATAAAGAAAGTATACATTTATACCAAATCAAGGCTTACCAAAAATAATAGCATGTCAAATAGTAATTAAGTATCTAATACATACCTGGACTTCGGAAAGTGTCTTGCTGAACTCCCGTCTATAATTTTCCCGTCTATAATTTTTCAACTTCTCTTCAGTCACAAAAAATAAATATAGATTGGATTGAAAACCACCTCCATTTATCCAGTACGGCTTGTTAAGGGTCCTTGATATTTTCTAGCAGAATTATTTATATGAGGCAGTACATTTAAAAGAAAAAAAAAGAACTTGTTTGAATTGTTCCGCAAAAGTTAAACATTTTAGGGCATTTTACCGAGACAGGTCACAGAGAGCGCGTTTCGACAAGAAATCCTTTTATCAGGTGATCTAAAAGTACCTCTTTTTATCTGAAAAATGAAATCATTAGATTGTACCAAGAACCTTTATCGTATATAGCACCACCCAAGTTCGCTCTATGTAGTGCTTTGCTGTGTCACTCAGAAGTCGAACTCCGCCATAGTTGATGATATAGTAAATATCAATTTTTTCGGTTTAATAATATAATTTTTAGTATTTCTCCAAAAGTTTGACTTACTGTAACCAATTGAACCAACAATGAGTAGTAAATAAACAATAATATACCTGTTACATCATTCCGAAGAGCAGTTGCCCGTTCGCTATTAGTAGATGTTGGTTTCACAGTCTTCATTAACAGCAGACGTGACGATAATGAACTTATGATTAGTTCTTTCCAAATCTTGCATTATATAAAATGTTTGCATATACTTGAGGTCATTCCTGTTCTTCTTCGTTAAATTCGACTGACTAATCCATACCATGATCGAAAACACATTTTTTGGCGTCATGAATCAGATGAGTCATCGCTGGTTTGATATCACGAATGCTGCGGAAAAGAGCACGAAATTTCGGAGGCTCCTTTTCTTTACATGGATCTGCCCGTAGATAGCAATAATGTCAGAAAAATAGTGGCCATCTTTCTTAGACTTACATCTGAAAACTTATCATGAGCATTGTGAATAATTTCTAGATAGAAGTATGGGATGCTCGTAAAGTTGTGCAGACCTCCCCGTGCACGTATGTGTATAACTTATCTGAGCTTACCGGTTACGCGGGTAACTTTCTGTGTGACTTTTTGTGGCGTTTCCTTCTGCAAAGGCATATTTAGATAATAGGATGCATCTCAGAATAAACAAAAAAGGAAAGACTCTTTTTTTTTCTAGGACGGCAGTATCTACTTGAAAATAAAGCCAGCTCCTTCAACCTAATTTTTACGTACTCTCAGCACTATTTTGCCCATAATTTCTCTCCTTACAGAAATAAACAACCATGGTGTTGCGGAGTTTCTTTGAATCTCAATTAATCTTTCATAAGGTTGCTTACTGTCCCAAACACTTTGTAGTTCTATTATATCGTTAGTAGATGAGAGCCGCCATAGTTTTTCAAAGACTATTTGTCATTACTTCCTTGCAATCTGAGCGCGTGGAATTTCTCGAAATCGTTCGGATATAATCCACTGCGATGACCTACTAAGTCTTCTGCTTCTGCTAACGCGGGTATACACGATACAGAGTACAGCACTGATGAGAGAGAAATACGTTAATGAGTGAACTGCAGTCGCGGCGTTATCAGTCGTCGTCGTCGTCGTAAAAAATATCTCGGCGCAACTGCAGTTCCACAATTGCTAACAAAACGGACATTCATTCACATTGGCTCTGCGAAAAGAAATGGTCACGAAATGGCTTTTCGTAAATGAAGTTAAAGATGCAACACATCTTCGCCCCGCTTCATATTAATTTATAGAAACTACTAAACAAAGATTCGTCGTTTTTTCGTGATGAACAACTTATTTTTTCGTATAAGCACAATATTGAAATACCATAACCAATCGGGAGTACTCCCGCCGAAATTGCTGCAAAGGGAATACCAAAAAAAAACACCAGCCCCGAATCTGATTAAGCCACAGTTGATTTACTTCACAAAATTATTGTCATCTCTTACTTATGGCGAGTTCCTGCTAGACTATATTAATCTGTCCACTACTTCATGAATGGATAATCTACTAAACTGGTATACGCTGATTGCCCTCTGTTCCCTTAACCTAGTCCTATTTTACTTTGTCCCGTATTCCAATACAAAACCAACCAGCACAGCGGAACCTCTCTGTGAATATTTACAGTTAAATATCTACATATATTTACGGACTTTGAGTGCCGGTGGCACTCACCCTGCCATTCACGTTGATGTACATTTGGCGGCCGGGACGGGCGACCTATGGGCGGAGAGGAAGAAGCAGTCCGCCGTTCTTTCCGCTTGCTGGAAGAGCTGTCTGTGGATAAAGCCGTCAGCTGGGCTGCCAACAGTTTGGAATACAGCAAAACAAAGGGCAGCTACAGTCCAGTTTGAGCTGGCCATATCTTACAAGCTGCGTTCAATTCCGCAACACCCTCAGTCGCACGTTATTGCTAACGAAACTTTAGCTCCAGACCTCTACGCGTGTGCCCCGCAGCGGAGCTTGTTTACCATGTTGCAGCGTCTACCTGTTGTTGTTAATATTGTCACCGTTTCATGGCAACCGAGACACTATGAACTGACACAGTCACGAGAAGAATTTCTAAAGCCCATTCTACCCAGCGCTGCGATAGCCGGCGGTTTGTCGATGTGAAAGGAAAGGGAGTTCATCAGGCGGTCACCTATGGCTACGAGAAAGCTCGCCGCTTTTCTCTCGGCGCCATCCGGCCGGCAGGCCGCGCTGGGCCGTCTGCTCGACCAAAGCGAACACCATCCCAACGAATCACACTGCCAATAGAACATCGGCGTATAGTATACATCGAATCATCGGGTCTGCGAGGGCAGACGAAGAAAACAAGAGACGAAAGGGGGCTGCCAAGAAACGGCAGAAATATCAGAGCTTATGGTGTTCCGCGGTATAATGCAAGCGGCTTAACCAGTCAGACCACTACTTCAAGAAGGCCTCGAGACAGACGGAGCCACGCCTCATTAAAAAACGAGTCGTTTGTGACTGGAATTGCAATAGCTAGAGCATCGAGAAGCGAAGCCGATATAGGCACGCACATACCTATATACAATAGCGGAACCGAACGAACGGCGGCACCCGATCTA